ACGTTAGAAAAATCCGAACCGAAATAAACATCGGAAATAGTTTTCGGTTCGGTTACGGTTCCGGTCCATTAGTCTACATAATATTTCGAGCCGGTTTTCAGTTTCGGTTTGACTAAAATAACGGTTACGGTCCGGTTATCGGTTTCGGTTTCAGTCCGGTCCGGATCCTTGATATATATATATATATAGGTAAACGAGCAGGCCATGGACGATCAAGCATAGTACTCTTATTCTCTGTAGGGCTTACAATAAGAGTACCGATGATTCATATGCTGGCTGTAGGAGCCGGAGTGAGAGAAGCGCTTGAGGCACTTGGAGCATTGGAAAGGCTTTTCGCCGCTATGCAGCCGCTTGTGTTCAGTCAGATGATGCTTGTGCTTGAACGCTCTTGAACACTCCACGCATTTGTATGGCCTTTGCCCTGTAACAAATCATTTATTTGGTTAAAAAAAAATTTATTTCTTAGACGAACAAAACATATTCCGCTCAAGGTCATAGAAATCAAGATAATGGAACGGAGGCAAAGTAATAGTATGTGTTGCAACAAAGGATAGACAGTAAGCCACAAAGAAGAATCTCATATTATATATTTACCGGAATGTTCATATTTGTGTCTCGCGAGGGAACTGTGTTTGGAAAATGTTTTGTCACACCGATCACAGAAATAAAGACCCTGCTCGGTTTCCGTTGCCACGGGAGTTGCTTCTGGTTGAGGTGCCGCTTCACTTTCGCCTTTTGTATTTGCTTGATTTTGACTCTAACAAATAATACAAATTATATTTATTAGATATCTATTAATTGCAAACTCTTCGAAAAAAGTAATTTTACTGTTTGTTTTTACTTTCGTGCTTATTTCTCTACTAGAAGGTGTGCACTTTGCTTCGACAGGATCGGTAGAAGTCTCTTCGTCTATGACGAGAGGCAAATCTTCGACATCATCGTTGTCTACGTTCGAAACGGGATTGTCGATCTTCTGCTCGCTAGGGGATGAGGTATTTCTGCTCGATGTATCGCTTTCTTTGGTAGTTGATATAGTAAGTGACTCCTTTTTCGATAGATCTAACGGCTGCTCACTGACTTGAATATGATTCAAAATTTGATCACGAATATCATCTTCTATTAAATCATCTGTTAAACGTATTAGAGCTGGTGATGCTTTTGATTCTCTTCGGTCTCTGGCTCGAGAATTTTGAAACCAAACCTAATGCAACATGATAATTGTTGATTTATATATGAAAATTACAAATCTAATAATTATCAATAAAAATTATATAGATTGCCCAGTAACAATCGTACTATCTCTCGTGAACGGATAAAGCGGATATCGAGTCAAAAATTTCTTTTCTTCTCTTCAAGTTTTGCATTAATAATTGAGATGTTATGTTAATTTATAAAGATTCGCGAATTAGCGTGCATAAAGACAATCTAATGTTTCGCGCGCTGTTTATAGATTTCTTTCATTGAATCATAGCGCGTCTACACTGCAAATCCATGTGTGTTACTTTAACACATTTTTTCTGTGTAATTTTAAGATTACACGCTTATCCGTGTTATTTAAACACACATAAGTGTGTAATATGATAATTTTATGCAGATCGCATGTGTGTTAAAATGCGTAAACATCTAAAATGTGTAATAAAATAAAACATATAAGTTTTAGACATGTTAAAATAAAACATATTTCTCCTTTTACACGTTTGAACAGATAAACGTTTCAAAATTAAAACACTTCAAAAAATACACATCAAAATTGTCGTTGTCTCTGCGTAGAAAGTTGCGCGCGCATCAATCTTTCTTTCTCGCTCCTTCCAGAGTACAGAGATATGTTAGGACAATTACAGCGCGGCGGAAAGAAGTGTGCTGACGTGCAATATAATGTGATTTGTGAAAATTTAATATATTTTTTATTTAATATGAAGAAGAAAGTGTACTGTTTAATCGGTGAACGTTGTAAACGCATTACGTTTTCATCTAAAAAATATATCTCTGACGCTCAAATTGTACGTGCAACTTTAATAGAAGCCAGCAATAACGATGTAGTGTTATTTACAATCAATGATCAACAACAAAGAAATCATTTTACAAAAGTTTGATGCCGATCGAAATAATAAATTATGTGATATTGAAGAAAATGATGAAATTGAAGACAAAAGTGAGGTTAACGTACTTTTTTTGTATGAAAAACCATCAAGCCTCGTACTCGAATCATCTACTGGTTTTATTTCTGATGTTTCTCAAGAGAGACAAATCAATGACACGTATAACATGAACGTCAAAATATTACATACTGAACCAGGTGATAAAAGTTTGGAAGCTCGACGTTTTCTTAGGAGAACAAAATAATAATGTTTTAATATTTTTAAAGAATACTGCACTATGACAAACTTTATTATACCATAGTCATCTAAGTTTTTCATATTGCAGCTTTTTTGAACATAAATATTATTATTCTGTTCTCCTATGAAAACGTAGAGCTTCCAAACTTATACGATAATATGTCGTTTACGATAATATGTTATACGATAATATGTCGTTTATTACACGCAACAAATTATACATTTAAAACGTGTTAATTTAGTGAGTTAAATCAACACGTATTAAGCGTGTTCTAATTTTAAACACTAAGAAACATATTAAAAGTGACTTCAATAAAAACACACGTCAAGTGTGTTAAATTAACACACTTGGATTTTTGCAGTGTAGCAACGCGAGCGCGCGAAACGTTGGCCTATCTCTTCACACAAACGCACATTCACATAAATCTTTATAAGTTAATAACTCATTAGAAATATTGTGAAACTCGCAAAACGAAAACGAACCTTTTGACTCAGTAATTTGAACACGAGAGATGGTATAGTTATTATTAGATGTAATAAGAATTTTTCTATTGTTCTGTTCTTTAAAATATTCGCACCTGTACAACACGAATAGGAAAATTAATATAATTTGCAATCATGTTGAGCTCGTCCTTCTTAGGTCGCGGATTGATGGCGTAGTAACCTCTCAGAACGGCTAATTGTTCATCGTCTATGAGCGACCTAGCTCTAACTTTCTTGCCATTGTCGTTGTGTGTCTGGTTGATCTCGTCCTCATCTTCCGAATCCGTTTCAGAGCTGTACTTAATTTTCTTATTACCTGATTTCGATGTCTGTTGATTAGCGTTTTCAAGTTTTGCAGCCAAACCTTCACTCTGCTGATCATATTGATCTGTTACTGTCCAATCTGGACAATGTGTCATTTCACTGGAGATTTCACTATCTTGATCCTATGTATAGGGATTTTAACATTCAGATTTCTTGTTTTCAGAGCAAAATAAGAGAGAAATGGAGAAAGAATTATTAGAGAGTTATTATCTCATTACGTACTTGACAATCTTCCTCGAACTTTCGCTTCATTGTAGCCGGAGATGTAGAGAGCTTTCGCACGTTTGCCTCGAGTAATTCTTTCGTCACAGACGTATTTATAGTTTCTAGAATTCGTCGAACAGCGTCAAGACCCGAATACGTTGACGCAGGAGATTCTTTGCCCTCAGTACCTTCTGTTCCCTCAGAATCCGCTGTCGATGGACTCATCACTTCTCGATGCGTCTCGAATTGCTCGGTGATCTCGTCCAGCCGTTTAGAATGCAAATACTGCACTAATTTACCTAGCGAAGACTGCAGGATATAACTTCCAAATCCTGACATCTGAGGTAACAGAGTCGGCACATCGTAAATACCTAAGTATAAAACAAAAGAAGTTTCAAATGTTTTGATGTTATGTTATTCGAAAGTTTTATATAAAAAACACCTTTTTATTATATATATAATTTTTATTATTTATTTATTTTGTCATATAGAATTGTCTCCTAAATCTCTCTGTCGCTAATAAAAGGACAATTTTATAATGAACAGTAACAGTAACATTGATCAATAAGTCTACCTGCTCCCTCTCTTTGTATCTCCTGATAATCCGAAAGTGACATTTTTGGCAAAATCGGTAGAAACGTGTTATTGTTGGCAGTCAATACATCAACGTCGCGCCGTCCCGATAACGGTTGATGATGCGCCTTTTTCGGTCCTCGATCGACATTGCTTATAGTGTTTTGCCTCGTCTTCTTTAAATTCATTATCAAGCATTTTTTTGCCGTCATGTGACTCGAATACGATCCGGAATGAGAGAAACGTTTGCCACAATTGTTACACTGGAATGGCTTTTCTCCGCTGTGAATGCGCAGATGTTCCTAGAATATAGACCAGATTGTCTGTCCAGTTTAAAAAGCAGGCAATTTAAGTCGTCTCATTTCTTTATTATTATTTATTGTCGGTACTCGTGGAACAAAAATAATTATCACCAGAAATATTGTAAACAAATTAAGAAATATTAAATTAAATTAACTCTTTTATAATGCTAGAACATAAAATAAAGTATTAAAAAAAAAACAATAAGAGATATAATAGAAAAAACAATAGTGATATAAAAGAAAGTAATACATCAAATTCTGTTAAAACTTCTTGTAAAAGAAAAAAAACAAAAACAAAAAATACAACAAATTTCTGTAAAACTTGACGATAATTGAACAAAATAAAAATGTACTTATAAGAAAATACCTTAAGGTGATGTTTGAATTTGAACGCTTTTTCGCAATGAGGACATTTGAACTTTCGTAGAACGGCGCTTTCATCATGGCTAATCATATGCCTCTGTAATCTGTAGACGTTGGCGAAAGTTTTGCTACACACCTTGCAGGACTGTTTAATCATAAAAAAAATTCGTTACGCATAATATATATAGTAAGATAATAATAAAAAAAAAATATATATATATATATAATTATAGTACTACAATATTATCTGGACATTTGTATATTATATATATATTGATATTGTCAACAAATAGATATGTATTTGCACACACTCTCAAAAATCGAATACTCTCAAAATAACGACGTTAGTATCTGTATTATTGTTACGTGACGATTTGTCATATCATGTTTTTTCTAGATTACTAATAAACTCTTTATTTGTGAGAATTGTGTGCGAAAAAGAACAAACGGCGCTTCGGATCTCTAAAAGTTAAACTCTTTTAGGAATATAATCAATAAGTCACCGGATTGTGAGAGAGTATCTAATTATTCATCCAACTATTCAACCATTCAGCTATCCAAATATCCAAACCATCTAAACGCTAACAACATGTACGTGTATGTGTGTATGATAATATCGTTGACGGTTTATATCATGCAATCTCGTACCACTTGAGAGAACTGGGCGTTAGGATCGTGCTTGTCAACAGTGTAGGACGCTTTGTGCGTGATCTCGAGATGATGCTGCAGGACGCAAACGTCCCGGCAGAAGATGTCACATTGAGGACACCTCTCACCGCCGTTTTGCTCCTTTGCTGCAGACGACCCGCCTTCACTGTCGCCACTGCCACTGCCGCGCGTTCCTCCGTTACCACTGCCTCCATTGCCGACAAAACTTCCACCTTCCGCAGTACGTGCTCCACCCGCGCAACCTCCGCCCACCTCCGCCGTATTTGTGACACCTGCGTCGTCCTCGCTAGTACAGCCTGCAACATGCGCGTACGTAACGCGCAACTTTTTATATATCTCATCTTCTCGTCGGAGAGGGAAAATGGTTTTTGTGTACGCTCGCGTCAAATAATGGAACATCTCTCAATGATACTAATATATTGTATGACAATAATATAACAATATATACACACACACATCAAAATATAATATTCTATAATTCCCTTCTTCCATACATTTGTAACATAATAGTAAAATTATCATTATGTATTTTGAGTTAAGAAAAGTATATACTACTTAAAGAAAAAAAAACATATATATATTAATATTTGTAATATATATATATATATATTACTATTAATATTACAAATATATACTATATACTATTAATACAAATATTGCAAATATTATTAATAATCCTGTAAACTATAAATAAATAATTCTAATCCTGTAAACACATTTTTTTAGGTATCTATCTTGTAAACTATGGACATTTATGTCTGACGCAATTTTTTTTAGTTAAAACGTCGCAAAAACTCTGTAACAACGTATAGATAGCGCGACAGTAGCATCACATCGCTGTTGTCGTTGACAAGTCGTTTCATTTCTCAGAACAAATGTAAAACGCTCGTTCATTATCGCGTAATGTTTGTGTGACAGCTCGTCAAAGTATAGTAGCTATTTACGCGGCATCGTAACTTCCACCGTTGCTCAAAAATTGTCTTTTCACCGAGCCATTTTTTCAGATTCAAAAATAAATAAAAACTCGCGCGGAGCCATATGTGGCGAATAAGACAAATGAGGCATTTGAATATTAATCAAAATTTTTATCATCAAATTTAGCCATTGCAACAATTGAAATGTAAACTGACGCGTTGTCGATCAATGGGATCATCTACTTTAGCGAGCTGTCATTCAAACAACACTACGTGCAATAAATGAGCCCGCTTGTGATTTGTTCTTCTGAATGATGAAACTTGTTGGTAAGGCTTCTACTCAGCTGGTGCTTATATTTTTACTTCTTGAGTCACTTTTCCTTCTTTTAAGTTTTGTAGTTAAAATTATAGTTATTTTTGTTGTTTTTAAGCCTTATTATGTATTTAATAAAGTTTGTTATTATTAATGTGTTGTTATTAGATGCAATTTATTTTGCTTTGAGTTTCAAGAACTGAAATCGAATACATTAAACGGTATGTATAGTAATTCGTTCTGGACAAAGCATGTGTGTGTGCTATTGATTATTCTACGGTAGCATTAATCAAGCTACGCTAAAGCAAACGGGAAGTTACTTGTATCTCTTCGGATTGCGTCTGCTCGTTTGGTGCCTTCTACAAAGACGAACTTTGCTCGCAGCGAAGTCGATAAGACATCGAAACGGGTCAGAACCGTGACCTTTTCTATATGTATGGCAATCCGTGAAGATCGTCGTTGTCGTACTATAGACCTACATCACCTAAGTATTATATGATATTTTTTAATTGAACGTTCACTGTGACAAAATATTACGTCGAAACGCACTTACGCAGTTCGCAATTTGTCGGTCTTCTTCCTATGCGAAGATAATACTAAGCTTGTCTTTTGCCTTTTATAAAAAAATCGTAAACATAATTTGTAATATTGTTTCGTTAAAAAATATTCCTAATGAGTATCACACAGCATCTCTAATTGACTCTATTACATATACTTTTCTTCTCATACTACTAAAGCGCGTGATACTAATTTTAATTTTGCGAAATCGCGGGTGCGCGGATATGTTCGAGGCAAATTTGCAAGACAGAGTATCTTCAATTCGTAGACGGTTGCGTTTACAAATTGTTTCTGAAGAGTGAGAGTAATTTGTGATTATTGCAAAAGTCTTTATATCTTGGCGCAGAAACGATCAAGAAAAACATAATAATAATGAAATGTATGATCAGGAAAGATGTCTGACGAAGAGTCTAGTTTTCCGAATGAACAGATGCGTTACGTATCAAACGATGGACAATATGTAGAATGTGTCTTGTATTTGTTACATCTTTTTTATGATAAAAAGGATTTAAAGATTATATAAATAAGTGCTCTTAAACAATTTGTTAATTTTGCACTTCTACTTTTCTATCCAAAACCGTTGTAAAAAACACTATTCTTATCGATTATTCCTACTACGGATTTTATCGTAATAGTTTCAATTTTTGATCTTCCGTTCTGATTTCTTATACAAACTTTAGTATCTTTATTAAAGCCATAATAAAATATGCGTAGAAATATTTAATTTTAATTTAATTTTAATTTAAAAAAAAGGAATATCTCAAAATCGGCAACAAAAAATCTAGTCATCTTAACAAACGACATGACATGTCGAGATAGTATGTATAAGCAATAATAGTTGCAAGCAACTCTCTCTTCGCGGAATTAATCGCGAAGTATCGCGTAGCAATCACTCGATTCTATGAATAATATGCGGTCGTTTACGCGTTATCATTACCGACATTGTACATATTACCTCGAGATATTTCTCCGCGCATTTGTCCAGTCGTCATAGAAAACCGCAACTTTTTTCTTATTTTAACACGTTATACATTTATGGTATCCGATATTATTCAATTTCGCGTGAGTTTCCAGTTATCTCTTCAAGTGCGCATTCCGCGGCATATGACATCATCAAAATCACACACAAACACACACATATGCTAACCACAAAGTAAACATTTAGATACTCTATCTGCTTGTACTATTTAAATAGTTGTCTCATGTATAGTTATATATTTTAAACATTTTTTAGTCTTTTTTTTAACACAAATAGAAATTAACGGTCTTTGCAAACAAATAATAAATACGCAGATCAAGAAACTTACAAATATTTGTAAGTAAAGGCTGTTTTTTTGCCAATAAATAAATAAATTTGAAGATTCATAAATAATTAATGTGTGTGTACATTTAAAAATATATATAAATAATTTTTTTTATTGTAAATAATTAAACAAGTTTCGTGTTCGAGTATATTTATTTGCTCGTATAAAAAGTTCTTAAGATATTTCTATTTTTTTTCAACAGTTGTTCATTCTTGTTTATCTTAATTGCAATTATTTTCATGAAAACAAAAACGACAAAATATAAATTAATAATGTCTTGAAACAATTAAATATCGTGTGTGTGTATTTTGTTAGGATAAATTCTCTATCGCTTCTCTCGGTTTTCGACGGGTTATTTTCTGGGACGCGATTTTTTCTCGTATTTACGGTGTCGCTGATGAAACAACCAACAAAATAATTCGTGGGCAAGGCCTCAAAAAACCCGAAGAGAGTACACATTTACATCATTCGACACCGCGGATTAAGACGCAGGGGCGCGTTTGCACGGCGCCAAAGATGTACAAACGGGTAACGAGACGGACGAACGGAATATACCCTGGGTCGCGTGTGCGTCGCTGTAGTGCGAAGTAAACGATTTCTCGGAGAGGTCATTGAGCCTGATAGGGCGCGGGCGGTCGCCATCTTATAGAACGTTAAAACCACTTCGCGGCGCTCCCATAAAACGAGCGAGCGTGCGACGAGACGTGGCGCGATAATCCGCGATGTTCTACTAATCAAAATTATTGCGCAACCGTCGACATGTACAGAGAATCGGTCCTGCTCGTTCTCTGTGTGTGTGTGTTGAGCGAAGAAAATGCAGTTGACTGATTTGATAGTGTCACGTCATATTGTCAATGAAGTAGAAGGCAAGATGGCGGCGAAAGAAGCCACGTGTACAGTCGCGAGAAATTTTCTCATATATATAGAATGTTTACATATATAAAATGTTTTACAGATCTCGATCTCAATTTTAAAAACGAATTCGAGCGAGTTTATAACATTATCTTTGGCAATGTTGCAATACTCGCTCAATTTATAACATTTACATATTTTTATATCATTTTTTTTTTTCTATTAAAAATGTTTCGTTTACGATTTTAGCATTTATTTGAGAGAAAACAGAGAAAGAAACATGTAATCTTATTTATAGAGAAGTCTTATATTCTTTTTAATTTTAATGCATGATTTATGCTTCGGTTTTCTTTAATTGAAACATTAATGTTGTTAGTCGTCTGCGAAAAAATTATCAACATATTTCTATATTATTAGACGCGCGAAACAAATGCACAAAAAAAATGCGCGAAAAAAATGCATTAGAAAATAGATAGCGAATAAATTATCGTTTTCTTGTGTGTGCGTATAATTATTTTCTCACACTGTTTAAGGCGTGTTTAAACGTCATGATTTTTGTTGATCACTCACAAGTTAATTAAACAATTGAAAGCAAATTGAATAATGTAAACATTTATTTCATCTAGGTAAAACAAAAGTAAATAGTTTATAAATGTTTTTTATCACCGTTTCACTCAGATAAAATAATTTATTTATAATTTTTCTATTAGCTTTTAATTGCTGGTCAACTAGTAGTTGATCATCAAAATACAACAAAAATCGAAACGTATAACTCCGACCTTTCAATACCAAATTTAAAAGAAAGAAACATGACATCACAATTTTCAGACTTTACTTTTATGTAACTTGAGTTGTGTAATTCATTAATACACAGATTTTTTACGGAACAAAGATGTTTTCTTGCGTGAGTTACATGATTTAAGACAGCGTTCGATAAAATGATATATAAACATTGCTTGTTCTACTACATACAATAAACACGCCGATTTACCCGACTGAAACGGGCAAAAATTAAGAAAAGCCATTTGGCTCGATACGATAATGAACGATAAAAAAGCGGTAGAAAAGAACACAAAAAAACTCACGAAATATAGCCTTCGATTATCCGATTACTTGAAATACAAGATGAAATTTATCTTCTCATGCAAGAAAACAATGCGCTTTTCCCGCGCACGTAGATACATACATTGTTACATGAATAGTATCGAATTTGATCCGTCTCTTTTTGTGAAATACACCGATAAATAAAATAAAATCGGAAAAAAATACAACTCAACTCTTGGCGGAAAATATTGATAAAATAAGTTGTTACTGTGATGTATTCGACTTTTGATAAAACACTCAGAAAGTTAATTAAATTTTCAACAATTCTATGACTAAAATATTGAAAATACTTAAGGGAGTATTAGACTTGCTGCAACATATATTACTATACGCACACGCGCGCTCGAGCAGCGCGCCAAGTTGATTTTCGGTTTTCCTTGAGTTTTAAGTTACGTGCCCTTGCTCGCTCTTTTAGAAGATCAACGCGATTCAGATTCTGAACGATTAACGAAATAGCTTATTTATCAAACAAAATTCGATCGTTAGGAAGATTTATCGAGTGGTAATTTGAATGTCATTCATTTAATAAATTAATTTGCTTATGAAAAGATTTATTGTTTTTTTACTTGAATATTTTTTCTAAACTGTTGTTCACACACATTTAATAGATAACAGAGATTTGTCTGAGTTTTGTTGCAGTTTCTAAAACACCTTAATGTAATTTTAAAAATAAATATGCATAGAGGTGACATTCGGTCAACACAAACAAATTTCAGGAAAAAAATGCTTTTTTTTAATAGAAGAGGCTTAGTAAAAACATTTTTAGTGAAAAAAAGAAAAACTTTTTTGCAAGATAAAAGGAAAACAGTAAGAGATTTAATTTTCTAAGTGAAATGCAATCTTCTATGAAAGACCGAATGACTTTTATCTTTAATCTCGAGTAAAAAAAGAACGGTAGTCTGTGAGGCAAGTAAATCTATGGTAAATAAATTTATCTGACCTACAAACTGATCATCTTTTTGTAGTGTTTTTTCTCAATAAAATACAAAAATTTTCTAAATATTCCAAGTGCTTTACGTTTTGTCATCATATCGTGTCATGCCTACCAGTCATACTAAAATGCAACTAATCACATTTACAAATGACGGTGGGCAACGACCAAGGTTTAGATAAACTGGTAAACATATTATGAGAATGGCAAGACTTATTTACGAATAAATCGGTCAAGGTAGATCTTGAGCCTATATAATTATAATACATGTAAATGCGTAACTGTATATATCGCTTATAAGGTAAAACAAATAAAATGAACGTTGCACAAACATACCAGTATAATCCGGATAAAAAGAAACTAGGTTACACACATGTACGATTGTATAGTGTAAAACATTCTGATGTAAAATTACAAATAACTAGGAGAAAGAGAGAAAAAGAGAGAAAGAGAAAAAGAGAGAGAGAGAGAGAGAGAGAAAAAGTAAATGATCGAGACCGACAACAATAGTGCAACTTTTGAAACATATTGTAAATTTATATTGTAAATTATACACAAATATAAAATAACGTAACGTGTTTTAATGTAATTGTAAATTTGCATGTCTTGTACAATTTGTATTATCATTTATATAAAATTTCACCGACTGAAAACATATATTTACACAATACAAAGTAAAAAAATGATGACGACTCCTGGCCGAGGAGTTTTTTTCGCAATATTTTAAAAATTAGTTAGGGGGGTATTCGGGGTCTTTCATGTGTGAGATGCAAATCCCGCATCCCGTATGAATTTACGAATTGAATTTTCAATTCAAAAAACTTACTTGTAAAAATTTACAAGTAATTCTTGTTATAGATGTATACATATATGTATGCACGTTCAAGTTCCTGCTCAACATCCTGGGAATGGCTCGTATCGGCCTTATATTCTTGTATGAAAAGTAAAAAAAGTTCATTCATGTGTAAAGTTACATAATGTTATATTAAACTATTAAAAGTTTAATATTTAATACACTTATTCTTTAAATTTACACCTTTTTACAGTGCAGATATATGCAAGTTAGTGATAACGGAAAATTATTATGCGTCCAATTTTGCAAAAAGTAGAAACTATTATTTTGACATATCGTTCAGAGATGTTACTGAGGAAATATCGATTTTTACAAGCAGTGGATAGTTGATAGTATAGAGTCAATCGCAGATGCTGCGTTCATTAAATGCCGTCTTATATTACGCACGCGATATGGGTCACGCACGTGCAACGCAGCGTTCTGCGAATTTTCCGCGGCTCCAAGTCGAAAACCAAATGACGAAATTATTCGCAATGTTTCATGCCACCTACGCGACAATATATCTTGGATTATTTATTTTTTTACCTATAGTCTTTTAAATATTTAATATTTATAGTGGCGAAATCGTAATAAACTCTTTCAAATATATGTGTAAACAAAATTATTAGCGATGTACGATTTCTCTCTTTTAAGTGACTCTGTGATTTTAGGACGTTTAAAACCTATATAGGGTAACTGTCCCTATTAGTGTGCTGTTAAGCAAGCGTNCTCTCTTTTTTGAATAAATACTCAATTAACTGACTTTAAATGAGCTTGCTCAAAATTTATATCGATTCTTTAAACTCTTCTTTTGACAATAAGATTTGTATTAGCCCAAAATATTAATATATTTAATTAATTTTAATTAAAATTAAAGAAGACTTTTTGTCCCTATTTATGTGCCCTTTCGATATGCATTGAACATTTTTCTATGCCCCCAGTTTGTGTGCCAGCCCCAAATTGTGTGCTCCCAATTTGTGTGCCTATTCCAAATTATGTGCCTCCAGTTTGTGTGCTAGTCTCTAATTGTGAGCCCTCAGTTTGTGTCCATCTCAAATTATAAATATAAATTATAAGTTTC